ACACTACGCTTTCCTCTTTTGATTACATCTGACGGACGAAGTGGGAGACTCTATGATGGACAGTTTTTTAAGCCTTTGGGACTGAATTGTCTTAATGTTCGTCTTATGCCTTGCTGCGTCGGACCCTTGTAGGTCATTTTCTTGTTGCTCTGTTTTCCTTAAGGACATTGAGTACTTTTGTTATGGTAATTGGGTTTACATTTTATATGTTTCTACATGATCATTTTGGTGTTTCACTTATTTAACCTTTTGAAGCCATAACAACTTTTAGAATTTCACTAAACGCGGATTCATTTTATTTACACTGTCTCGTTTATAGGAACATGGTGGGGCTAAGAGTGAGGTTTGGTGCACCATTAACCGGTTAAAAATCCCCAGCATTACTTATGCTGCTGACCGTTCCAAGGCGGCGCCCCTCTGTGTTCCTCAGATGTATCTCTATGTTGCTTCATACTGTTTTGGTGGCACTTTTGCTTGTGTCGCTTGTTGTTTTCTCGTCTACGGTAAGTATCTCCCCCTTTGCCCCTAGTTTTTATTTCTTTGATTTACCCCCCCCCCATTCCCCCGGTCATCTGTCCCCTTCTCCTGTGCCCGACATAATGGGCTTAATATTCAATCCTTAATTTGTTTTCCTTTAAATTCCTTGTCAGTTACAAATTATTTCATATTTTTCAATCATTTTATTGTTATCTTTGAATTCCTAATCAGTTGCAGGTTGTTTGTCATTTTAGTGATTTGACTGTCCGTGTTTTGTATTGTGCCCTGTCCTGTTTTTGTTTGGGGTCCGACTGGGCTCCTTGCCGCTGGTTCTTGTTGCTGTGTTGTATGGGGGTTGCGTTCATTGAACGCCGCCTTTCCTGGTTGATCTTGTTTATCATAATTTACCTCTACCAAAAACATGATTACATTATCATAATAATCTTTATATTTTGCACGGTTTTACAGGGAGAGAAATTTGTACTTTAATTTCTGTAAATGATCAAATAATCTATAATGTACTAAAAAGTGTCTTTGTTTTGTCTGTAAAGTAAAATACTGGATGTAAACGTTTTTATGCCCCCGGGCATATAGTAATTGAACCGTCCGTCCGTCTGTCTGTCTGAGCGCACAAGAGGGTATATGTTGGGTACTAAATACCCAACAACTTCCAATCCTACTCACTCCGTATGTATTGTTAGGTATTTTTTTAATGAATTTTGATGTATTGTTGGGTACTTTTTTCACAGTAAAATACCCAACAAAAATACAAATGTAAGGACGTCCGTCTGTCCGTCTGTCCGTACGTACGAGGTTAACCTAGAAGTTGGATTTTCTGAAGTTCTGCCTGTACCAATGGCTTCTTAGTTTGCACACTTACTAATCAATACAAAGTACATGATCTGGGCAAGTTACATAACCCTGCCTTTCATATTTACCAAGTTATTGCCCTTTTCAGCACTTAGAAAATGAATAATGGTTAACCTATAACGGCAAGTTGGAAATATCTTTAGTTCTATCTATACTAATGGCTTTATAATTTCCACACTTATTTATCAATACAAAGTACATGATATTGCCAAGTTATATAACTGTTTCATCCATATTTCCCCAGTTATATACCTTTTTTCACTTTGAAAATAGGGCCTTGTCTGGTTAACCTATTTTGGCAAGTTGGATTTATCTTAAATTTCTCCTAGTTGCTTAATTTCTTTAATGATATCTTTCATAATTAGTAGGTGGGTACCTTTGATGGTTCTCTAATTTTTTGTGGAGTAAGCGGTCTCTAGGGTCAAGGTCACTGGTTAAAAAAATAAATATACACACTTTTGCTTATACAGTCTTTAATTTTTAGTTTAATACAAACATGCCAAGGGAGGTATCTTCTTTGGGTGTGGTAAGGGGTCGTTTGGGTCAAGGTCAATGTTACTAATGTCAAGGTAACCAATGTTAAAAATAGATTTTTACATTTTTACAGGTGTATTAACCTTATTCTATAGACATATGTTATTAATTTTATAATTGATAGAAACATAAAATTTGATGGAGTTAGTGGTCTGTGGTCACCAGTGCTAAAAATATATTTTTACACTTTTGTCATTTACAGCTTTTATTTATTGACAGATGTATTTTATATTTGGTAGGAAGATAACTTGCATGGTATTCTTCCTTTGGATAGAGTTAGGGGACAGTTTGGTCAAGGTCACCAGTGTTCAAAATCGATTTTAACACGTTTGCCCATACAGCCTTTTTTTTAAAGACAGATGTATGTCATAATTGGTAGGAAGATAACTTGCATGAAGTTGAATATTTTTCAACTTCACAAGTCAGAGCAATGACTTGGCAACTTATATTTTTCAAAATTACAAAATGCCATGACTTTGTCAAGCTATATAACTTGTTACAACTTTTTGGCAATTTTTCTGTCCATAACTGAGTGAATGGGTAAACTTTTTTTTGAAATATTGCTACTGACAAAAATCTGAGCCGGGGGCATTTGTGTTTAACAAACACGTTCTTGTTTTTTTAAAGTTCATACAGATAAGTAGATTAAACTTGGACAAAAAAGTACATCCACAGTATATGATAAATACTGATATTTGTGTAATTGTGAATGAATAAATAATGTTTGAAGGAGGACATGGAATATTTTTCAAGTATTCGTAACATCACCAAACATTCAAATAGGAAATAGCAAACACAAACGTTTTGGAGAAAAATACATTTTTTTCTCTGAATATTTTGTTTCAAAATTTCAAGATATCAGCTTTTTCCATCAAATAACCAATCCTTTATATCTGATTAATATGATTGTCTTTAACAGTGTATGACTTCAATTTGTTGATGTTCAAGGTAAGACTTACCGAAAAACGTTGTGGAATAATTTTTCCAATATACCTATAATTAGGAAATGAAAATGTAACCTTTTGACTTTATTAAAGTAAAGGAATTCATGTTATTGTAATAAGGGTGTAATATGTGTTACATTTACATCTTATTTACTTCCTATCAGACTGTGTGCAAAACCAACACATAGTTAAGCTGAAGTTTCACAATTTGTATTTGTTATATGTATATTTTAGACAAACTTCTTGTACGGGCATTCATATTTTAAAAGATTTTTTAATTGTACTTTGCAGGTTTGTTCATCACAAAGCACTCCTGTTGAATACAATCCACTTGTATAAAGTACTTTATATCTATAAAGATATACCTTGCTTGATAAAGGGGATACCATGCCATATCGACATATTAAGTGAACATAAGAGGTTATCAAATTATCATTATTCTCTATCACACTTGCACCTTTCGTTATTTGCTTTTCCTTGATGTTCCGTTTGAATAATGTTTCATCTTATACAATAATATACATGGGGGCGTCCGTGGCCGAGTGGTTAAGGTCGTTGACTTCAAATCACTTGGCCCTCACCGCTGTGGGTTCGTATCCCTACATGAATCTTGGATTCTTTCTTGTGATGAAGCCATCCACCTAGCTTATGGAACGTCGGTGGTTCTACTCAGGTTACCCGCTCGTGCCTGAAATAATGCACGGAAGGGCAACTGAGGTCTTCCTCCATCAGTAAAGCTGGAACGTTGCCATATGACCTATAATATGTCGGTGTGACGTAAATCCCAAATAAACAAACAATAATAAACATAAATGCAAGCAAATAGAAACTCTACTGATTTGTTTTTATATCAAAAGTAACCAGGATGTCTTCTTTTAGTTCCTTATCAGTAATTAATTATTTATGAATTAAGTGGTTAGCCTGCCCATGCCCCTATGCCCTTGTCTGTTTTTGTTTGGGGTCCTCCTGGGCTCCTTGCCACTGGCTCTTGTTGCTGGGTCGGGTGGGGGTTGCGTTCATTGAACGCCGCCTTTCCTTGTTGATCTTGTTTATCATATATTAGATGTTATAAATGCTGGGCTTTTTATCATTTTTTACAATATAAAGGTAATTTGTGGTAAATTAAAATATTTATTGGCAAAATGATATGATACAACATCATACACAAATGTCACTGTAGGCATACATATATATACATATATTTCTCCTTTACGGCAATGAAATGGATATACGAACGTTGCTTACGATTAATTCTCTTCTATGAATATTAAAATACATTCCAAGTAACGAATTGAACGGTTTCTTACCTCTAAGTCCATTTTACGCTAAATATTTTGATTACATCACAAGAAGAATATTTTGCTTTTCCAGAAGAACAACTAATGTACAGTTTATGAGTTCTATCATTGAAAAATACAGCCACTGGATTACAAATGTCTGTTTTCTCTAATCCTACAATTTCACATTTCTCGAAACTGCTCGACAATCTTACAATATTGCTACTGTCTTTGTAGCATACCAACAATGTACCATCATCCAACTCCTGTATTCCTGTTGGTCTTTCATATCCTTGATCCATAAATGATTGTACAACATTACCTTGCCAGTCCAGCTTCATAAACTTGCTTCTATTGTAGTAATCAGATACATTCATAAACTGTTCATCTCTATTGAAAACAATCTTTTCAGGACCACTAAACAGTCCAGGAGTATCAAGCAACTTTATCATGTTTCCGTCTAAATCCAGAATAACCAATTTTCCTGGTTTGCAATTACAGCCCACTACTAGCTTCTCCTGACTATAAGCTACACAATAACACGATCCTCCGACATCTATACGACGATCTAAAGACAAACTTGTATCTGTATAAGACATGATCTGGATACATTGTTTATCACGTAATGCAACAGCAAGTCTATTTTTAGGAAGTTTTATAACATCTAGTGGTGATGAAGACAGGATTATCTCTGATACCAGCGTCTCTGCGTCTATATTAATTATTTTAATTTTGTTATTGTTGTAGTCAGCGATGATCATATTTGTTGTGGAAATCAGTAATATTCCAAAGATATCGCATTGGTAATTATCAGAGGAGTGTTTAATTTTAATTGTTCTTTCACATTGAATACATACTGCACTTTCTTGACAAGCTCTTCCGTATGTAGAAATCGTTCCTAGAGATTTGTTATTTTTAGCTGTCTAAGCATCATTCCGTTTCGGATAAATATGAAATCGCCATCCGTTTTATTATCTTCAACTAATTGTTTCTCTTCATCCAAGAGTCTGACAACTTGAGGTGCAACATGTTTCATCTCAATGAACAGCTTATTCTGCTTGTTTTCGTCGCCCAGAAACTTGAGCATTGACATTGTACTTGACATTTCCTCTGCGATATGTAAGCTACCTGTTTTAACATTTTCTTGTTTACACTTTGCTGTCAGTGTACGAGATTTAGCGTCCCTCATAATTTCGGCTTCCATCTTATCCAGACATTCGTTGATTTCATTTCTAAAAGTTTTTATATCTTCAACAACGGTCGTGTACATTTGTTCTATATTTGCTGTAGCAGTCTCGGCAATTCTGACATTAGATTTACACGTTTGAATAAGTGTCTCTATTCTGTCAATCAAATTTTCAAGCTTACCAGACACATTTCCTGAAACATCGGGAATATATTCTACATTGCAGTGCTTGTGTTCTAGAGTCACACAAACGTAACACACATTAGATTCGTGTGTGTTGCAGTAGAATTCTAGTGGTTTATCACTATGTTTTGTACAAAAATAAGTTATTTGATCAATTTTTATATTCCCGGTCTTCAATTGCTGTGGCATTCTTTCCTTATCAAGCAGAACGTGGTTCATAGTAGGTTTTGGTTTCCTGTGGTGTTTATAACAACTCTCACAAAGATGTTCCTCGCAGTCCTTGCAATAACCAAAAGCTGGTTCTTTTAAACCATCTCTGTCGCATGGAAGGCAGTAAAGATTTGAATCTTGTTCCGAAGAAACACCAAATTTCCCTGACACTTCCATGTTTGATCTGGAGTAAAGATCGAAAAGAAACATGTTTTTTAAAAGTGTATTATACGAAAGACATCATAAGTAATTAATTATAATTCTTGTAAGAGCTTCGAATCACCATCTTTTCTATGAAATCTAATTAAAAACAATCATATGAATGTCAATCCAGTTTTTATGCAATATTTTGTTTTCATCTACACAATTTAATCAGGTGATTCAAATTTAAGACAGATTAAATAATGCATATATTAAATAAGAAATGCATGTACATCAACACTCTGGTCGTAAATTAATGTTGTTTGAAAAAAAAATCATTTCAGTAGTTTACCTTTAGAATAGTAATTTCAATAAAACGTAAATTAAATGATCCACGTAAATAAATTCAGGCACAGTCTTCATTTATATCGATATATGTTTCTTTCAATGTCACCTTTTGTAAATTCAATTTAAAGGGAAAGACAAGGTTAGAATATAAGCATGATTTCAGAAAAAGAATACTTTAAATAATAAGTCTGCAAATTTTCTGCCGCCAAATAATAATATTAAACGAATGATAACAAAATTTAAATCGCTAAATCACCGATTTCTACAAATCGGTAAGCGCGGCCATGTTTGTGTATTGGCCGTATAAAAACAGGTGCGCGTGATGTCATATCCCCACATCTTTAGATTCATGATATATCTAGTTGAATCGTAAGGAAATATTAATATAATAAAGTTTTGATCAGACAATTTAATTTTCACAGGAGGTGTAGAGGAGATTTTTTATGGTTCAAAATACGTAACAATATCAAAAAAAAAAAAAAAAAAAATAATAAAAGATAAAGAAACGTGCGGCTAGCCAAAAGTTCTAGCCGTACGTGAGTCACGAACGGCTAGCCAGGACGCACTGTATTGTCTAGCCGTACGGCAATTTTCAAAATTATATGGAAGTCGAACGTTATAAAATTGTTGATTTTCATGCTTATCATTTGTTGTTTTATTTGTATGAATTATTAAATCATTTTTGTTAATTTTAAGCACATGGATCGAATAAAAAATGATCGGAGTGGAATAAATAAATAAAAAGAACATTGAATGAAAAAAACAAAAAAAAAACGGTGAAATGCAAAAATAATTATATAATTTTCAAAACAGTAGATAAATATCGAACATAAAAGCACAGTCAATCAATTAATTAGCCTTAATTAAAACCTATTCAGGGACTGACAATAGAATTTTAGAATGCCTTTCACGGAACATGCAAACTTTCCTTGATACAGTACCGTCGGTAATTGTCACAATTATCAAGAGCCTAACAACAATCATTTTCAGTGTTTGTTGTTTTTTTTTTTTCATATAAAAGGTGTCGAAAATTAAACTTAATGAAACAAAAAAGGATTATTATCAAAAATTTGTTAACTATTTCAATTGGTGTAAATGCAAGCAAAGGCTATTTTTTCTCGACATCTTGCGATGACAAAGATCGATATATATAGCGATCAAGGCGATTAATCTCTTAAAAGTTAACATCCAAAGACAATTAATGCTGTTTCTTGGTTAAAATCCTGGCTTAAAGTCATAAAATAACATATGCATTTTCGTCTTCCATAAAATTTTGAAAAGTGCCGTACGGCTAGCCAATACAGCGTGTCCTTGCTAGTTGTACGTGACTCACGTACGGCTAAAACTTTTGGCTAGCCGTACGGGCCCGTACGCTAGCCACTTCCATTATAAAAACCCTACTAAAACGTGTTCTTAATAGTACATATAATTAATTTTTTGCAGTTTGATTCTGACTTTCAAATTTAAAGGTGTGAACAAATGTTATAATTGATGTACACATTTCAAAAATATAAGCAACTCTTTTGAAAAGTAAATTGTTAACATGTCTGTCAACGTATGATGCTGCGCATCGTAATCGTAGCCTAATATTAACTGCAGGCAAAATCATTTTTATTGGCTGCTCAAAAATCTAATTTGCATAATTTATTCACACAATTGCTGGTTCTTACTACTTATGTCTAATACTGCGCATTGTCCATTGTAATTGTTCCTAATTTGCACCAAATGCTCCTGTCACACTGTGTACTGACGATTTTTATTGCTCCTTGTATGCTTCTGTGCCGACAGACCTTTTGATCATGCACAATGTTGCCCTGATTGGTTAATCACCCTTGTCAAATATTCTAATGACGAAATAGACATCTATTTTTTTACGCTTCGTCAGTGAACTGAATGACCTTAGGGGGAATTCGGTTCCACACCTGTCAAATTATACTGTAGTAAATTACAGCACGTCATAAAATAGCAACACATTTTTTTCAGTTACCAATAATCATTTTAAATATTAAGTAGATTTATGATTTTTTGTTTTATTGGATTAAATTTACGGTAGTAGAAATGCGTATCTGTCGGGGAAAGGAATTTGGTAAGTAGATAACGTGGAAAAAAGCTTTAGGGAATTGGATAAACCTGAGAATATGCGTAATTATAGGGGAATGGGCAACCTGTTGCTGTTGGTACCAGTTTTGACTGTGTGCCTAAACAACTTTACGGACAGTTTTGTTTTCATACGATATAAGTCTGCCTGCCGATTTTCCTGCGCCTTTCTCATTTTTAGCGTCAATGGCGGAAAATCGCGTAAAAGTAAATTTATGGTTTATCTTTGAAAATTAAGCAGTCATTGCTTAAATCATGTGGTTTGGATCATCAGCAAGCTTGAATATCGAACAAATGATAATTAATGTCGCGGCGTCTTCAATTAATTAATTAAAGCAATTCAGTTCCATATTATGTTTTCATAAATAATATATAATGTACGCAATAAATTAATAAGTTCTTCATCAAGATATATTTCAGTTGTACCAGCGTGTACACCTATACCGGAAGTGGGTATAACACGTCACAATCTCGGTCTCGTCTGTCTCGCGAGAATGACAGAACGCCAAAATGGCGGCGCCCATGAACTTATTTCTCAAGTGAAAAATAGTGTCTTTAAACACGAATTTCTCTCTTAAAGGGTTGATGTCAATAGGAAAACTGTCATGGTTCCTCTTTTCAAATGATGAATATTTATATTAGATAGACATCAATCCATCCATTCTTATTCCTTTAACGATACGAACAATTTTCTCACATACGAACTTGTAATTTGAAAGTCTCGAAAGCGACATTTACACTATAGCGGCTGCCATATAGAAGGCCACCAAATTCATAACTATACTACTACTAAATCATATTCCATTTAAACATGTAAGTTTAATTTTTTAAATAACTTGTTAAGTGACCTAAAGTTTGATATTCAAAAGACTTGAACAAATGTTTATTATTGTATCGATTTATCATAGACTTACAGCATTTGTACTTTAACAATATGCGAATATTCCTTTTCCTACGGGTACACTAACTTTTAAAATATTTTACAAAAGAAAAGATAAATATTTTTACCTGTCTGTCTTTTACTAATACAGTTGAAACATGCACTTTGGAACGCGGAAGTTCTAAATATAGTATTCAGGGTACACAACTTCATTAACACGTTATTCAACTGGTACATCGATTATCCTCCTTGTCACTGAACAGATTGGTGTTATTTATGAATTTATTTCGATTGCTTTCATTTTTGTGTCCTATTGTTTTTTAATTATGAATTTAATTGTAAACTACTTTGAATATCTTTATCACGTATTGTTCAATTGAACCCAAATGTTTTAATAAAGTTCAAACTACATGGTGCTAAATTTTAAAGATGAATCATATTCTTATATATTTCCATATTGTTTTATTTGAAAATTATCAAAATTGACTATGCTATCAATTTAGACATATAAACCACTCGTCTATTTGCCACAGTCTCTTAATTGATAATACCTACTATAATACGTTTTGTTGCACTTTATAAATATCTGGAAAAATTGATCCCTCAGAAGCATTAAAAACAGAAAAATTACATGAAAATTGCAGATTGGTTTGATTGAGTCTGTACATGAGGGATAATGAAAAGTACAACATTCCTCACGTCCCCTAGCACAAGCCATAGCGGTAGTCAATTTTCAACACTTAAAATTGTTGGACTCAATGATCCTGAAGGACCAGAAAAGTATTACGACACAGAAGTGAAGAAATGGGCAACATTTAAAAGTTAACTGCAGCAGTGCCTTACTTTAGAGAAGCAATCAGCTAAGTTAAGAACCTTACTCTAAAAAAATGACTTAGGCGAATTAAATTTGAGTTTAAGAAACCTTAATTATAAATAATACGTTAAAGTTATTTTTTGCGCGTTGATTACTGCTATTAAGCACTTAATTTGTAAACCATATGCACCTATATTTACAATAGTTTTTTTTTTTCATAAATATGCTATAGAATGATATGTGTGATAATAGTCTGACATGAATAAATTTACTAAGTTCTTCTTAAAATTAAGAAGTATAAATTTAATTTTGTGACAGATTAAATAGAAATTTTGACTAAACTACACTCGGACAGAGATTAATCTATATTACCGCACTATGTATGATTATTTTCATTCTGATTTGAAAGTGTAAATTGTTTAGAATTGAATCATAAATTACAAACACTTAGTCTATCTATTTTTTATTTTGTTGACACCCATTCTTTGCGTCATGGACCATTTGTTAATAGTTTAACATATTAAACAAACATCTTTTGAAATTATTCTAATAATTTTTCATTCTATATTGAAATCTGATGAATTGATAAATGAGCAATGCACATATTTTACTTTTTGTTTCAATGGATACTAAATGCAACTATTGTAGAAATACTCGGTTACTTGTCATTTATTTATAAGTTCAACTCAAATTACACAAAACAGATTGCAGAATTGCAGAATTAAGTTATAACATCTTTGTACAAAACATTTTACAAGAAATTTAAACCTTAATGAGCACAGTTAATCACCTAAATAAATATTAAAGATTTTGTCGCATATTCCATCAAGTTTTCATTTGAATAATAAAAAAGACATACATTGATGAATGCTGCTCTAAAAGATATTGTTCACGAAC